ATCACTAAAACAAGGCTTTTATCCATCTAGACATGACTGAATGTAAGCCTTTTCAAGAAGTGGCTGAAGAATTTTAATTATGGACAAACTGTCCCATTTAAACCGAAGACATACATCCTCTTTGTAACTTTCTCTGAAAACCGCCCTTCTTTTTTGATTGTTAATTTGGAAGTATGGCCTGATCTAGTCGGGTTTTGCATTTTGATGCAATAAATAGTTGCCTGATGACATGCAGTGTCCCACAAGCCAGTTTTGCAGCAGATTTTTTTCGTTGCATTTATGTAGACTCAACAAAGCATATTGTTTTTGCTAATGAAATTATGAAAATACAGGAATTATCACCTGATGACCTCAATAGATTTATTTGAAAAGAATGAATCATTCTACGCTTAGTGGGTTGGTTTTGGGGGAGCACATCTGCACAGAAAATTAAAAAGAATTAAAAATAAATTTTACTTGCCAAAATTTTTACTAGCCTTGCCATACTAAAATAACTAAATTCTTAATTTTTTTTTATTTATTTATTTTTTAAGTAAAAAATATTGTTTTCTGTGTTTTGACATGTCGGCACTACAGCAAAATCTGCTAGCCTAACTATTGTAAAGTTAGGTGAACAATCAGTAACAAAAAAAATTAATTAATTACAAGCAATAAAGCAAATAAATACAATACAACAAAGATACAATTAAAATAAACAGAGGTTTAATTTTTCAGGTTGGTCTAACAATAGCATTCAGGTACAAAAATCAAATGCAAAATAACACTGTACTGTATAAAGTAAATAAAGATTCATCTTCGATGTGCGATTTGACATTATCGAGTATTTTGCAAAAACCATTCAAAACATCCCTACAGAGCGCACGCATACATTACGTGAAGTCTAGATTATAGTGCGTGTGCGCATTTAGTGTGTTTTCTTTCACTGCATGAATCAGTCTATTAAAAAGCATTTAGAATGATCACAAATTTAAGAGATGGCAGAAAATTTATATATTTATACCACTTCATATAGTTATTCAATTTCACACGAAGAGTGCCGTTTTTCTCCAAAAATGACCATGATTGCAAATGTGACATTGAATTCAATAAACAATAAGTTAATTAAGAGACTTACGTTTTAGACACCATATTGCTTGTTTTTGCTCTATTTCGCCAACAAAAATCATTCCCTCCCTTGTATTCACATTTCTAAACCTGTTGTCCAACAAAAGAGAACATTATAACCTTTTTACTCCACAACATGTCACAGAATGAGGCAGAAAATATGTTCTATATGCTACTTTAAAAAGATTAGCAATAAATTAGGGTGACCATACGTCCTCTTTTCGGACCTACAAAAATGTGTCCGGCCAGGATTTCTTAATCGCCCAAAATGTCTGGGATTCGGCTGTTTTCTTAATCCCACTCTCGCTGAATCTCTGACCATTGCCGCCTGCTCCCGCAACATGTGTTTCGCTCCCGCAATTTTCGTGTCCACTCCTTTAATATTGTGTATCATTTTGCCGCATCAGGCAGCCGCTCTCAAGATGCGGTGTATTTAAATATTTTTGAATGAGCGTTTGCGCTGTTTACTTTCACTTTCCATTTCACGATCACACATACTCTGTGTAAATGGAGCACATCTTACAAGATCAGATATTTGTCAATGAGCTCAGAATCTGTTGAGCAGCAAATACTCCAGCATGGTCTTGTCAGTCATTTCTCCTTATTCTCGACCTGTGATCAGTCAAAGCTGACTCCTGCAGCTCTTGTTTGATGCAGAGTTGCCAAGTCCACGTTTTTTCTAAAGAATTGGGCTACTTTTAAACTGTTGCCATGGCTGATTTTCCCAAGTGGGTTAAAGTTTGAAATATTGCATAAATTACATTTGACTGAAATGCTTGTATTGAAACAGTTGCCAAGTCCGCGTTTTTTTCTACAGAATTGGGCTACTTTTAAACTGTTGCCATGGCGGATTTTCCCAAGTGGGTTAAAGTTTGAAATATTGCATAAATTACATTTGACTGAAATGCTTGTATTGAAACATTTTGCATTCTACCTATGATAAAACTTTCATGGTCTTCTACATTAACTGCTCCCTCCTGGTGGAATGACCCTAAACCTACCCATCTCCACCCCTTAACTTACCAATCTCCACCCCCTAGATGTGGATCCAACCACTCCCCCTGGATCTTGTGTTCTGCAGTGAGGGGCTACTGCACGTTGCGGCTCCAACACGGCCACCGGAGCTGATCACAGCTACTCACCAGCCACGCTGCGGCAAGTTTCTGAAGCTGCTATCACTAAAGATAGGCGCTTATATTTTTGATGGATAATAATAATACTAATCGCCTTGCTGTCGTCCATTAAAGATGCAGTTGTGTGACGTGATAGTATGTCCCAAAGCTTGCCTACTCTTCTACTACACACTCAAAAGTGTGTACTTTTTCTTCATCCAAAAGAGTACATACTTTAAGGGTGTAGAGACGCAGCATTACACTTAAGATTTAGTCCTACACTTCGCTTAAATTACGACTGAGATGCTTGATAACTTTTAATCGCAGCTTTGAGCCAAGAATTTTTTTACACTTAAAGGGTTAGTTCACCCAAAAATGGCGCTGACCCAGATCCGGCGTGACGTCGTCATTACGCCGGATCTGGTTCAGTGCCGCCACAAGCTCGAGTCATGATACTGTCGTGAACGCGCGTCCACCAGTGACGCAGTAGAGACGAAAATGTGGAATAAAGTTGTTATTTTTGTTTTCTTTGCACAAACAAAGTATTCTCGTAGCTTCGTAACTTTACAGTTGAACCACTGATGCCACACGGACTACTTTGTAGATCATCTTGGTACTTTTCTGGACCTTGAACGTGCTAGTTACGTTGCTGTCTATGGGAGGGACAGAGAGCCCTCAGATTTCATCAAAAATATCTTCAATTGTGTTCCGAAGACGAACGAAGGTCTTACGGGTTTCGAACAACACGAGGGTGAGTAATTAATGACCGAATTTTCATTTTTGTGTAAACTAACCCTTTAAGTCAATTCTTAGCAGCATTCTTGAGAGTAATTCTCAGAGGCTTGATAAATACGGGCCCAGTTTTCCAAGACAACAAAGTCAGCTTGAGTCAATCACTGGATGTAGTCACTAATGTATTTGAAGCAAAAACAATATCTATCTGGAACTTCTACAATAAAGCATGAACACTCCAACACAAGAACACTCCAAGGAGAATTTCTCAGTTGGCCCATTTTCTTGATGTCTCCTACAAAACATTTCTCCAACAGGGGCTTGCACTACAGCCCATCCTATCCTGCACCTTCATATACATTATCCCTCATACCATCCTTCCTACAAGAGATACTTGAAACTGTTGAAAAGACCCAATCACAGGGCATCCCCTGTCGGTGAACAAGTGCAAGTTCTCTCCTATGGATAACCTATGATTTCCTCATAGTATCCATATAGTGAGTACCTAAACACCCTGCAGACATGGCCGTCAGTAATAAAACTGCAATGCATTCAATTTTATCCAATATACTAAATATCTGAGTCATGCAAAAAAAAAAAAAAAAAAGGAGTAAACCATTACTGAATACCTCTTCCTATGAACATGACTTTACAAGGAGGCACCTGTCAAAAAAAATCCTAAATGGAAAAAGGTATACAGGATTTTAATAGGAATTTCTTTCATAATTTTGAATTAATTCTTAATATTTTATGTTTATATGTTGCAGAAAATTTACGTTAGGATCTTTAGGATAGTCACAGAAATTCCAAACGGATTCCCTTGGGAATTTTAATTAAGGACATAAAAGTGCTCCAAAGAACAAACGCGTATCTAAAATCCTTTTACATGTAACCCAGTGTAACTTCATTTAACCACACAACACTAATGTCGACAAGTGCTTCAGCACCAATAGCTCTTAGCTACAGCTTCCTGCATGAAAGACACTACAAACTACTGAGATTACTCATATTCCCAAACACAAGGGAAAGCCCGCTGGGTGTATGGTTGAGTTGAGTTACGAAGGGAAGCGTTTGTGGATTAAGTACAATAATAACAATATTCACTGCCGCTGTATTTACAATAGCAACACAGCAGCAGCATCTGAAGCCGGATAGAGCCCTGGAACCAGCATAACAACAATCACCTTGCCGTGTACAAAGAGCACAGGCGAACTGTATTCAGGTTTTCAGGCAACAGCAGCCGCACTGCAAAAGGGGAGGCCGCCCCATTATTTCCCTTCACAAAGCTTCACGCACACTCGCTCGCACAAAAGCACCGCGTTTTCACACTGAAACACCGTCAGGCGGGCTCTTTGAAAGACCCGTGACGAAACCTGCCCAGGATTGCCGCTCAAACCCTCAACCCCCAGCTCAATATGCCTCACACGGTCTGTCAATCAGTCGTTGAGTCAAACTGACCAAAACCGCATGAATACACAGGAAAAAACAAAATTACAACGTAGAATTGTTGCTCTGCTCTTACCTCAGTTTTCATTGAAGCCATGGCTCCTCACCCCGAGACCCCGCCCTCTTATGCTTACGTCACATATTCTTTCTTTCAGTGAGATAGTGAAGTCCAACTCAATTCTGAGAATCGGTTCTTTCAAACGGTTTCAGAGAACAAGTTCAAAAACACGGAGGCATGATTCTTTTTTCGCCATCACGTGCCCAAGCAAGCTTTTAATTATTAATACAAAAATAAAATTATGCGATTTTGAAAATAAATAAATAAAAGCACCCATTCACTGCAGAGGATCCATTTTTGAGCAAGTGATGTAATGCTAGATTTCTCCAAATCTGTTTTGAAGAAGAAACAAACTCATCATCTTGAATGGCGTAAGGATGAGTTCATTTTCAGTAAATTTAAATTTAAGGAAAATTATTAATTTAAGTAAACAGATCAATTCTGAATTCACACTGAACTGATGAATGAACAAATACATATTTTAATCACTTGTTATGAGTAAATGGGCATGAGTAATTTTAAAATGAGAAATTCAAATGAGCAGCATCTTGGGATGAAAAATGGAGAATTTAAGTGATTTTATTTACTGTACAAGTTTCATTTTGTCACATCTTTACATAGAACACTGATCCACAATCGTGCTACTTTATTTCAAAACCTGCTGGTAAATCCAGGGAAAGAAAAGTACCACACAATGATGAAATGAAACATGATAAAGCTGTTGAACCTTTGGAGAAAAGGAAAAGACAGAACATAGCACATGTAAATAAACAACGAATAAGTGTTTGTCCACACTGCAATGTCAGCAATTCCAGAAATTTATAATTTCACATTTATAATTTATTTTACCTTCAGTGCTAAAATAACTATCTACTATCCCTTTTGACTTTTTCTGCTTCCAATAGAAAGCCAAAGAGGCTCGAGAGGCAAATGTAGAACAGTAATAGCAATGCAATGTTATCTCAAAGTACTTGTTTTCTTTACAATTACGATGGGACCAGGGATGCATCAGATTCACATTTAAGGCAAAATGTGGTTTAAAATACAGAACAGGCATTCAAGTCAGGGGGTTCTTTACTGGATTTTGACGATGAACAATAACAATTTTCTTTTTTCATTTAAATGTTCTTAACATTTGCGCAATGGCTGAGAGTTCAACAGAGTGCTGCTCACAGTGAAGAAACACTATCTCAATTTAAGCTTATAGCTGCACTGTTAGAAGTTACAGTGGCCTGCTGGGATACAATCAGCAAAGTCAAAATCCCTGGAAAGGAATATGAATGGGTCATTCTATAAAATTAGTACCTTCTGCAGTCTAATAAGATGATTCAAAAGTAAATGTTTGTATTATGTCTGCTATATAATTTTTAACTGGTAATAAATTGCATTGATCCATTTCATGCTACAAATAAGTTTTTTAAAATATAATTTCCACAATCAATTCATTACAATCAGACCGTCAATTTACCCCAATTTTCCCTACTGACAAATGTAACAAAATATAAGATAAAGTGAAAGTGTTTGTATTCTAAAAGGATTATAATGTTGAAACGACAAAGTTTTTCTGAGTTATGGAATAGTTAAGTTCTTTCAAAGAGGGAAATAGGATGCAAACAGTGGGAACACATAACCCTCATAACACAATAAATCCTTTTTATGTCCAGTGAAATCAAAAATATACAGACAGAGAATAATTGCTAGCTTTTATGTATATATTTTTTGTTTTCATCAAAATGTACACAGGCTAGAAAATCAATCTTCATGATGAAAATGAACTAAAATAAAGCTACTGGATTTTTTTTTTTTAAGAAATATGCATATTAGCATATCAGCTATTCACTGATGAAGTAATTTGTTACACCCTTTTTGTTGAATGACCCAAATGATTTTTCTGTCAGCACTGTAAATGGTTCATATTGCTATTTACATTTTAACACTCATCGACAGAGTCAAAAGATAGAGAACATCACATCATTTAGTACTGAAAACATGTCTTCTAATTTGCTTCATACAAAATCATACAGAGCATAATATAGGTGGTCTGTTGTTCTGTGTAGGTCTGTTCTGAATATGACTTCCTTTGCTTACTGAATCAAATAGTAAACTTAGTACAACATTGAAGTAAAATGGAAATTGATCATTTTGATTTTGGAGAAGGAATTGAGAAAACATTCTCAAACACAGACACACACACACGCACAAACATATAAAAGTGCCTTTTGTGCTTCAATTTTTAAATTTCTTCAACAGTTCAAGGGTCTGAACAAGTGTTTTGGAAAAAGTGTTTGCCATATTAAAGGACTGTACACAACAATCCAAGTACAGCCTAAGGCCTCACCGGAAATCCATCATAAATCTCCAATCACTGTGGGCTAGTATGAGAAATATCAATGCATAAAACCAAACAAGTCACATACAAAGACATGTACAGTTTGAATCAGGTTTCAAATGATGCATATCAGAAATCTAACATATTACCAGCACTAATATTACGCACAGTCTGGGGGGAAAAAAAAAATCACAGTCTGAATGACAGTTCTTTGAAATTAATAATTCTAGGGTGAAATGATGAACCCCAGGAAAGAAAAATCTGATTATTTTGCTTTGTGTAAAATAAGGTAACAAAAATAAAGAGTCAGGAGTCCAAAGTGTCATCCTAAAATCTCTTGACAGCCTGTGAAACAAAATGAATGTAGTTTTTGTTTAAAAATTATATGTAATATGTTGTTCCCTTAAGCATTCAAGGAACACTGGCTACCATTTGGCCAAGTGATAACGACATATGTGCCCAAAGATGCTTGACTACATTGGTATTCCAAAGCTGTACCACACAGTGTCCAATTGGTGATGAGATTGATTTTAAAAAGTCAAATGAAAACTTCCAACATCAATCATCATCAATAAATAAACCTTGTTCTTTCCAGAGTAACTTTCTCTGTGGCCCAGCGTCTTCGTCAAGAGCCATTCCTGCTGGCATAAGCATGGAGTGCATTATGATCATCACAAGGAAAGGAGCATTTATTTCCTCAACGAGACTTTCAGTCGGACAGATATATATTTCTGCGTCAATTCAGATTTTACGGAGCATGTTTTGTGATGAGCGTTATATAAGGCCAGCCTTGGTTGAATGAAAAAGTATCCTCAGTGTAACTTTCACTTCCAAATGTTACAGATGCTGGTATTCGTTTCACAAGAACTCTGTGTTTGTCTCATCTTGGGGTTGATCAAGAGTGCTACATTTTCTTAGGCACTGAAACATTCTCCCTGTACAGTTTCAGGGTTGTTTTCTCCAATGTCCTTTATGTTTTTTAAACCGATTTGGTTCATGGAGAAGAAGTTTTAGTTTTAAGTACCGTCCAGCAGGGGGCACCAGATGAATGGCATGATGAAGAAGGGAGCCCTTTAAGGGTCTACCTCATGCTACTGTTGAAGCTGGAGTTGTTGCTACTGCAGCTTTCCTCATAAGTGGGAGGTGGCTCTGAAAAAAAACATGAATAAAAACTCATAAAAAAACACATTTAAATAAATCTGCATTTCATTTGAGTATATAATCAGTTACATTCACACTGTGACAGAGGCAAACCTCTTTTATATAAATATGAGATTCACATTTACTGTGATATTTTTGGGTCAGAGTTAAATAGTCTAAATTATTTTATTTGCACTTACTCTACACATGGCGACAAGACAAGTTACAGCTTGTTGTGCACTCTTAATCATTTGAGGGTTGTAATATTATCCCTAGTTGAAATGTAACCCTATATAAAAACTAAATAACAGAAGTAATGTCTGGAATAAAATGGCAAACCGATTGGATTACAACAACTAGTCATGTTTCAGTTCCAATCTAGATGATGATGTTGACATTTATGATTGATCTGATATGTGTCATTAAGTTACTTGCATGCAACTGTTTTTAATATTTTAAACATTTAATAGATAGAGAGAATGAATGGAATGGAAAAACAGACAGACATATAAATGTCAAACTTTCCAGTTTGTTGTATTAATCTTAGATACAGTTCAAGTTTGTTGCTTCACATGCCATTTCATGGCATAAATAGCTTCAACATTCAATAAATATAAAAATACAAAAAATACAAACATTGTATTATAAGACTAATTTGACTAATTTTGTATATAAATAACTCTATATAAAAGATTTACACATTTCAAAACACTTTTAATAATTTACAAATATAAATATTACTATAATAAATTTAATGGTTATTTACACATCAACTTTTAATGAAAATAATCGATTTCATCATTTGTAACAAGATAAACTTACATATTTCGCCTTTCAACACCCAGTTTACAAATTTGAATGCTGCTACTTGAATGAAAAAGAGACCATTTTTTATGAAATTACACATTATTTTACAAATGGTTTATGACCTACAGTACGAGCTACAGTTTTTGCTTTGCAGTTCTAAAGTTTTGCCTTAGATACAAACAATTGTCATTTACATAGAATAAACACCGACCTGTCAACTAGTAAATAAACATGTTGCATGTAAATCCTGTGAGACTTTTTGGAGGGTAACAACTTAGACATGACCCTGTGCAGGGTACTAATTCTCAACTAGATCACTCACCATGTGGGTATTCCCAGGTGCTGTATTCAGGGGGCAGGATGAGGGGACAGGAAGTGGGCACTGGCGTTGTATTACTATCTGTGAAGAAAGGTATGGTGGCCCCTGTGGACAAACAGAACAGAGGAGCAGAGCCGTCGGAGGACTGGGTGGGCTGCGGCGCGACCGGACCAGACGCTTGACCGAATGCACTGGGAGACATGGAGATAGGCACACCGGACGGGTCCTGCTGAGAATGACTCTTGGTGGGGATCTCCTCGCTGTCTACTCCTCCAGCACCCAGCGCACCCACCAGGTGGTCCTCCGCAGGAGGTGCACTGGGGACTACGGGTGCAGGGCTGAGGCTTGGCATGGCAGGCATTGGTGCACCTTGAGCGATGGGGTGAGGAATGGAGGGAGTCAAGTTTACAGCAATGTTCCCAATGTAGATGGGTAACGTGACCACAGCCTCAGGAGATTTTAGTGAAACCTGTGAGAAAAGCGACAATTTCTCAGATGCACTTCTTGACATTAAGCTATATAGCAGTTAGTCCAGAATGCAGCTGCGAGGTTGCTGACTGGTACTAAGAGGAGAGAAAGTATTTCTCCTGTCCTAGCATCTCTTCACTGGTTACCAGTGCAGCATAGGATCCATTTTAAGATTTTATTATTTGTGTATAAAGCATTAAATGATCTAGCCCCATCATACTTGTCCGAACTTCTCAGCTATCAGCAATCCTCTCGCTCTCTCAGATCCTCTGATAAACTTTTCTTGCATATACCTCGCTCTCGCTTGAAATTTAAGGGGGATCGGGCTTTCTCTGTAGCCGGTCCTCGACTATGGAACAGCATACCTCTGGACATTAGATCTGCGCCTTCCCTTCCTGTTTTTAAATCCCGCCTGAAGACTTATCTGTATTCCTTGGCTTTTGGTTGAAATGTATGTTTGTGTATGTTAATGTGTTTTGTATTGATTATGTGTTTCTGAGTCATTTCTTTTTATTCTTTTAATCTCTATATTTACTTATTTGTATATGTACAGCACTTTGGCATACACTAGCTGTTTTTAAATGTGCTATATAAATAAACTGACCTTGACCTTGACCTATATTTTTAGATAAACCTTAATTTGAAAGACTTCAGCAGTGCATTCAAGAAAAGATCTTAAAGGTTCATGCAAAAATAAAAATCACATGTTCATGAGATTTGAAAACAAATCTTTCTTTGAGTTGGATCATTAAAATGAAATAGGTAGATCTGTTGACAAAACTGATCTGAATGATTTGTTCATGAATCATACTGATTTGGTTAGTCAAAAAAATCCAATCTTTTTAATTTGGATAGTCAAAAGAGTCCAATCTTTTCTATGAACTGGTTGATCCAGGTCTCAACACTACTCTGAATGATTAATTCATGAATCAGACTGAATCAGTTTTGAAATTAACTCACTGAGTTAAAAATTTTTTTTATGAATTGGTCAATACTGTTCACAAAACTGCTTTAAATAATTATTTCATGAGTTATACTGATTTGTATCAGATCTTTTCAATGAACTGGTTGATCTAGGTCACAAAAGTGTTCTGAATGATTCTTTTATTAATCATACTGATTCACTTCTTGAATTCAACTCACTGAATCAGATATGTTCAATGAATCAGTTGATCCGGTTCACAAAACTGCTCTGAATGATTATTTTATGATTCAGACTTATTTGGTTTTCAAAATCAGCTCTCTGTAATTCAATATTTTCAATGCATTAGTTGATCCTGTTCACAAAATGACATTTAATTCCTTTGAATGCTTCCACATACAGCAGAATGACAATACAGCTCACTTGACTTGAATTCAACTCATAAAGTCAGATCTTTTCAATGAATTAGCTGATCTGGTTCACAAACGGGAATGATTCTTTCATGAATCAGATTCGGTTCTCTATTTCAACTCACTTCATCTGATATTTTAAATTAACTGGTTAAATTCAGTTCGTAAAATAACTGTTCAACAAAAGGAGACATTTTAGTAAGTAAATGACGACAGAAGATTTTTACTTCATGCAGTGTTAAGGTTAAAATTTCCTGTCCCATACCTGGATAAAATACTCAATTTCTATGAGGCTGCAGCCAGTGAGGCCTGATTGAGGAAGAGGAGGGACGATGATCTGTTCTCTCCACTCTGCATGTTTACCAGCCTTCACCCCGGCACCCTCGACCTCTGCTATGGGCCGTAGATCAAACACTGGCCGCTTTGTTTTATACGACACTCTCTGCACAGATATACACAGTTGTAATGAGCATTAGCATTATCTGACAATTTGCATCTACAAGTACATCACCCATTGTCAACCACAATGCTGGAAAAATTTGGTATTTTTATGAAACTAAACATCAGCAGAGTCTATTTTTTATTTTCTTCATACCTGAATAAGGCTAGCCATCACATAGCCAGTGTCTTTACCAGACTTGTTATGGATCTCAGTGGATAGTTTGATAACCTGTCCAGGAGTGTATCCTCTTAGATCACTGCAGGCCTTCAGCATGAGCGTGCCTGTTTTTACCAGGAGGTAGTTAAACTTTTTTGTTGTCAAAGCACAGCTGGGTTGCTGGGAAAAGAAGGGCAGACATTAGGAATTGGAGAGCAACTATAATATAATATAATATAATATAATAATATAATATGTATTATGAATATATTAGAATTCGTTTTTTTTCCCACTTTGCCAAGTCTCACCTCTATATCTGGCAACTCATTGAGGTTAAGCACATTGAGAAGGTAAAAGGGTCGCTGGGTCTTGTAATCCTTTGAGAAACGTGGCGTGTCAATAAAAGCCCTAATTTTGTACAAAACCTTCCCAAACGGGCCTTCAAATGAGGTTGGAACGGATGCTACAACAGACATAAAAAATGTTATTTTGGATTTGTCAAAAGCTTTCCTATTCAAGCTGCCTTATAAAATAATCATGTCTTTGACAAAACAACAATATCGTTCAAGGACCAGAATATTGGATGATGACAAGATGATGTTAGCGCTCACAATCAATAAAATGAATCAATACAGTTCTAAGTGCTATCATTCTCAACCTGTTTTAAAAGCAAAATATAATCTGAAGGCTCAGGAGCTCTGGAAAATGAAGAAATAAAAGCACACCACTATAAAATTCAACCAAAACAGCCCACAGATATGAACTAGTTTAATCTCTATATCTCTGTCTTCGTATTTGCATGTCTTATGTCAAAATGCATTCCTGTTTTATGGGGTGGAAAGTCCCTAGATTGATCAGATGCTTTGCATTTAATCTTCAATAGCTGTTCATACAGTCTACCAGCAAGGGGCGCAGCTTCAGGGTGCAAGTGGTCACTAATTAAGCAGCCAGGAATGTTGCTGCTATACCTTCCCATTTAATAGCACATGATGGGACATGTGTTTGTGCAGAATGGGGCGGTTCATAATAAAAAGACTTTATACAGCTGCTATTAGATCAAGGTTAAAATTACTTCCACCCTCTCATCAAGCTTCAGAGGCACTCAGCATAGTTTAACCTCACACCTGAGTGCTCTCCGTCTACGGTGCACAACACAACATCCTCTATGACTAACATTAAGTTGCTCTGAATGCAAATGTGCTTTAACTGCTTGAAATGCTTATCGTAAAATTAAAGAAATTTACCTGGAATGAGAAACTGAAATGGAAAGCTGTGCTCACCAGCTGACAGAGTACCTGTAATGGCAGAGACAAAATAAAAAATAATGTACATTAATACATATTAATAAATGTACACACACACACACACACACACACGTTTGTACTTGTTCTTGCTATATTGTGGGGACCAAATGTCCCCACAAGGATAGTAAAACCTGACATTTTTGACATTATGCGGTCCCCACAAGGGAAAAAAAAATATTAAAAACAGTAAATGATGTTTATCTGAAAGTGTAACAATGCAAACAAGTTTTCTGTAAGGGGTAGGTTTAGGGTTAGGGGACAGAAAATATCGTTTGGTCAGTATAAAAGTAATATAAGTCTATGGAAAGTCCCCACAATTCCCAGAAACACACACACACACACATGGCAGAGAATGGCAGAGAAAAAAGAAAAAATTATGTACATAAATACATATGCATATTATTAAATATACACACACACTCACACAAATGTGTGTGTGTGTGTGTGTGTGTGTGTGTGTGTGTGTGTGTGTACACTCACAGACACACACACACACACGTATGTTAATAAAATAATGACTGAAATAATTAACAAATTACCAAATAAAAAAGTAAAAACAATAAATATCAAATATATCAATATATATAATTAAACATATAATATACAGTATATATATAATTTGTGTTTATATCTATAAACACAGATATACTGTATATGCAAAAAGTGCTACAAAAGTATAATAAATAAAATAAATAAATAAAATCTACAATATTTTTACAATATTGCATACATTTACTGTATAAATGTTTAATATATGGTTTTGTGACATTTCTAACTATTAGATGTACATTAAATACAGATTATATTGTGCATTAATGACTGATAATATTTATATATACATACATATAAAAAAATCCAAAATAAAATATAAAGTATATATATATATATATATATATATATATTTATATAGCATATATTTGTCAATAATTATATGGTTTTGTGGCATTTCTAATTCTAAGTATTAATTGTACATTAACTAATGAATGCCTTATATCATGCATTAATGATTAATAATGCTATTATTGTAAGTATTACCGAAAGTGTACATATTTAATATACCATAATATTAACACATAAGCATACAAGACATCGTAAAGTACTTCCCTATCATGAGAAACAGTGTATTGTGGGAGTGGAAGTCTGGTAAGTCAGAGTGACTCAAACAGGATGGCGTATCTGGGTAGATAAGCACCCTGACAGCTGTAACAATGCCCTCTCCTGTGCTTTCTAACTGGGGATTTCCACAACCCCAGAGGTTATTCAAAGATCTGGAAGTGTATACATATATCTGTAATATCCACTGTAAATGTGTGCCCCTCCTGTGACGCTTTTTAAAAAAAGTTTGTAATTTGGCACCCTGCGTGTGAATTCGCACGAGCTACAGCATGCGCCGCCTGTGCTTGTTTATCAAAACTTTCAAATTTGGCAGTAAAATCACATCTAAGGGTGTTGTCTGATTTCTAAAAAAAATGTACTTGAGTTAATGTGGGCGGAGAAAATGAGTTAACACCAGCCATCATTACTGTATAAATCTGTTCGTGTTTATAAGTCACAGTCTGTAAGACAGGAAAAGGGCTCTTACAGAAAATGATGGGAAATTCACTGATACAAGCAGCTTGGAGAGCAGAGCAGACATATCGACTGTCTGTTTGAGCTATACTTAAAGTGTTTGTAAGGAAGGAAGTCCTCAAAAAAAAAACAGGATACGAAGTTAAGGCAAAACTAGCCTAGCTTATATTCATAACGTTCTGTACTACACACACAGACTTCCAATGGAAAAAAAACCCAGTTTATTGTTATGCATGCAAACCAGGTACTGTTTTGACGCTATAAACACACTGCTGTCTAATTCTGAGAAACAAAACCTGTTCTAAATGAGTTTATGAGTAGTGACACATGCATTAAGTTTCCCATATAAGACATGAAAGTTTGTGACAAGTGGAATGTGTTTGACCGCTCAGGTGTGAAGAGTCACCTTTTCTTGTTCAGTACGTGCCTTCAAAGAGTTAATAGAAATCCAAAGATACAGATCTCCATGTCGTCAGCAGCGAGAGGTCAAACAGGGAAATGTTTTACAGCTAAAGCTCTTTCATAAAGTGCTGTTGAAAGGGAGATGATTGAAAACACTCTAACGGCTGATTTAAAGGTATACCTGATTTAAAGGTATTTCCAAAAATGGAAATTCTGAATCATTTACTCACCCTAATGTCATTCCAAACCTGTATGACTTTAATTCTTCTGAGGAACACAAAAGAAGATATTCTGAAGAATATTTTGATTGTTTTTATCCATAAAAGGAAAGTCAGTGAGACCCAAAACAACACTGGACCCAATTCACTCTCATTGTATGGCCCAAAAAAAAACAAAAAAAAAAACACCCACAGAGACATTTTTCAAAATATCTTCTTTTGTATAAAAAGTAAATGGCTCAGAACTGTTCATTTTAGGGTTCACTATCCCTTTAATTTCGCCAGAATCGCACCTTGCCAGTGTGTCAGTTCTCTTATGTCTTTGTTGGAATGCTATGCAATGAAGAGTGGAACACAAACCCTTAATGGGCAGACAGCATTAGTTCCTGGCAGCCAGCATAAGAGACACTCAGCGCCTCTGTTGGCCTGCGGGGTCAGATGAGCACTGTTCCCCGGCACATCTGATTCAGACTGCCGGGCTGCTAAAAGGTCTCCTGGAAAGGGGTCGTAGGACAAGCCTGGCCATGTGAACTAACAAGCACTCTGACAGGAAAAGACCTGCCGGGACACATATGCCAAGAGCTCACACTTCACCCCACGGCAGAACATAATGACTCTGTGTGACCTGAACACAGAGGTGAGAGACAGAGAGAAAGAAGGCGAGAGGAAATTCTTGCAGCTTTGACAAAATTTGTGCAATCTGAAAATACCTAACCCTCTTTTTGAATCAGGCGTGATGCAATAAAATGTTCGCGTAAATCTTTATATTGGTTTTACAAGCCAGCTGCTACTGTAATGAGAGATAGGAACAGTTGGTTTATATGGAGTGCAACAGTCAGTTCTGGAAGTAAAAACTAGGTATGCACCGATACTGAGCTCCTGTACTCGTACTCGTTAAATGCCGATACCACACAGCATGTGATAAGTGCCATATTCAGACAAAGAAACACGACAACAGAGAGCAGAATGGAGTTATTAGAGATTAAAGATGTCTACGAAGTATATGTATGCAATGAATATAAAACATTCAGTATTAATGCCTGTATAGCTGATGTGCGCGAGCTGATAAGCAAATCACGCTGAGTGGATTGAGCGCGCGGCAGCGCAGATGCGCAAGCTTGTCGAGTGAATATATCTTTCTCACAGACATCACTGGAAAGTTTGTAGTTCGGTCGGATATGTAAAAAAGAAGTAAGTAAAGCAATGCACACGTTACTTAATGGTAGGGAGAGAGAGAGAGAGAGAGAGAGAGAGAGAGAGAGAGCGCACACTTATGTTGTGTGATCTTTAATGATGTTCGCTCACTTAGCACGCATCATTTGGATTAAAACTAAATCGTAAATATAAGACAATTTATAGGGGCATTCAAAGTAAAAACAATAAATATCAAATATATCAATATATATAATTAAACATATAATATACAGTATATATATAATTTGTGTTTATATCTATAAACACAGATATACTGTATATGCAAAAAGTGCTACAAAAGTATAATAAATAAAATAAATAAATAAAATCTACAATATTTTTACAATATTGCATACATTTACTGTATAAATGTTTAATATATGGTTTTGTGACATTTCTAACTATTAGATGTACATTAAATACAGATTATATTGTGCATTAATGACTGATAATATTTATATATACATACATATAAAAAAATCCAAAATAAAATATAAAGTATATACAGTATAGAATATTTCATGCAATTATATTATATACAATTTCATATATGGCTTTGTGACATTTCTAACTATTAGATGTACATTAAAGATAAATTATACCATGCATTTATGACTAATAATGATATATATATATATATATATACAGTGGGGAAAAAAAGTATTTAGTCAGCTACCAATTGTACAAGTTCTCCCACTTAAAAAGATGAGAGAGGCCTGTAATTTTCATCATAGGTATACCTCAACTATGAGAGACAAAATGAGGAAAAAAAATCCAGAAAATCACATTGTAGGATTTTTAAAGAATTTATTTGCAAATTATGGTGGAAAATAAGTATTTGGTCAATAACAAAATTTCATCTCAATACTTTGTTATATACCCTTTGTTGGCAATGACAGAGGTCAAACGTTTTCTGTAAGTCTTCACAAGGTTTTCACACACAGTTGCTGGTATTTTGGCCCATTCCTCCATGCAGATCTCCTCTAGAGCAGTAATGTTGTGGGGCTGTCCTCTGGTCTCTCTCCCGGCCTGGTCTTGCCGCCTCTGCTATAGTATTCTGCCAGTTGATGTCTGAGGCTGTTCCAGTGGCCTTCCCTAGCTATCAGTTTGTGTTCCTGTTGTGGTATCACCTGTGCACCTCACAACCCTTTTGTATTGATCTGTTTTGTCAATAAACCCTTGTTACACTCACTGCAATTGGGTCCTCCTTCCAGATCCCTGACAGGTTTATTGTAATCCATTACATACCTTTCTATCAAAGTTATCTGACATTATCAAGCTGAATTTGTTTTGAGACAGTTTAACTCTGAGTTCTTGTGATATTTTATTATCATTTTCTAAACTATAACGAATAAACTGTGATAATGTGAGAAATGTTGAAGGTGTCTGAATAAATTTTGGTTTGACTGTATCTATATGATAAATGAAGTTAACCAACTAATATTATACATACTCTTTTGGTTTCTGTACCCAATATTTAAAAAATGTACAAATGCTATGAAAATATTGGTATCGGTACTTGGTATCGGCGAGTACCAAAAATAAAAGTATCGGGCGAGTACTGGAAAAAGTGGTATCGGTGCATCCATAGTAAAAATCCCATTCATTTTCTGAATTGGGTAACTGATTTTTAATGATAACGTATAAACCGTTAAAGACAGACCTCCTGTGAGCTACAAGATTGTTAATCACTGTTATGTATTTTTGTTAAAGCCATCAGCCCACACTTATTCTTGAAATAATCATGTTTAACAGCAGAATTTATGGTGAAAATGTGAGATCTTGGCAGTGCGTCACCGCACATCACTGCCGGATAATCGAAAATGGGCAAAAAGGTGGGAGCTGGTTGCTGAAGCCACGCCCACCTAGCTCGACGGCAGTGTCAGCAACGGCAATCCACCTGTCACTCAAGTGGCCACGCCCTTAATTATGCAGAATTTAAGGCTTAATATAATTTAAACGGATGAGTTATAAAAAAATTCACCCACCTCAGTTGTCATGAAGGGCAAAATGAGCTATATAGACCAAAATCACTTTCTGAACCAGGCTGTAAACATGTTTTTTTCTGCTGTAAAGTTGAGAATTTTTACATGGGGAGTCTAGGGGATTGACTCCCTTTTGCAGTCAGCCTCTAGAGGCCAGTTGAGGAATTACAGTTTAAGTCACTTCCGTGTTGGCTTCAGAGAGAGAGCGGGAGGTTGCCACTTGGGAATAACTCAAATCTAACCTCCTTAAATGGTTGTGATACTTGACACAATCAGACAGACAGGAAGAAACCAGAAAGACACGTACTCAGAACAGGAAACTCTTCAGACACAAACAGTTGATCAAGTAATATGAATTTGAGAAGTAAACAACGAAGTCCTTCAAAGTGAGCAAGGTTTTTTATTGTAGAGTGGAGCCATTAAAAGCCATTTAAATTATATTCTGACTAATAATATTAAGAATGATTGAATTTCTGAACTGAAGGAAAGCTGAAACCGAAAGGGATGATGAATGAAAGTTGGCCTCCTTACCTTTATCGGCCACAGACAGTGTGCTGCTCAAGTACTTTTCCTCAAGCATCCATGATGCATCATTCAGCTTGGATGAGATGCCACACGACCCCACACAGTTGACTTTAATGGCTGTAAAAAAACAAAAAGATCATTCATAATTCATAATTTTTAAGTTCAAAGTTCAGTCATGTCATTCAGAAAGTAAAACATTTTTTTTTACATTTATATATATAAAAAACTATATATATATATATATATATATATATAATAACAACATTAAATGTTTTGATGAGCATACATCATATTTAGTATTGAATGTATTATTTTTATATTATATAGTATGCATATAATGTAAATATTTATTCTAAATTAGAAATTATAGCAGTTAAGAAAGTATTAGGCTATTTATGAAAGAAAAACATAAAAATATATTCATATCTGACACACCCTGTCATTCCATTTAAACAGATAAGGTTGTTTACCTTCCTCCACACCTTCATAAATTAGACTTCTTTTAAACACTCCACCATTCAAGAAATGATGCAAGGACAGGTCTGATAAGTTTAATCGCTTTGGATTTTCCACAGTAAACAGAGCTGATGTCATGTTCTTGATGGCTAGAGCAACATAACAAATGTTGAATAGGAATGTTGATTGTTTTCCTTTCATCGAACAACCTGTCGGATTTCTACCAATCCACACAACAGACATTCCGTACGAATTAAACATTCACCCAGACGGAAAAGCCCCTTTGTCTGGAGCATCGAGGAGAAACAGCCATCCTTATTTGCATTATAATTGCGTGATGCTAAGCTCTCCACACAGGCTTTATCAGGGTGTACCCAGAAACATAAAGACACCTGAACGTTCAAAACCCAACCAGGCAGACCAACGTCAAACCCTTCAAAGACCAAAATTTAGGTTGAAATCAAACCTAAAGGTCAAGGTCACAAGATATAGACAAAGACATTTACATGTATATGGCTGTAGCATTGGTGCTTTTGCCATTACTGTGCCACTAATATAGGCTATAGAGATGAATTTTTGAGCATTCTGTAATGCTTAGACAAACATATACACCTTACATGACCCTGTCAGGCAGTTCACAAATATACAGTGAGTGCAAATCTGAATTTGAGTGAAAAGAGACAAACTGACTCAGCCATGTGACCACATGCTGATCTGATTATGTAATGGGCCAGTGGTTGGTAAAGCCCAAGAAATCTCAATTGGATTGACTCAAAACAGCAGGGCAGAGCAAACACCACCATTACAGATTCTCTCTCACATAAACATTAACTCAGGAAACAACCATCTCCAAACATTTAAACAACCCTCATGGTTTTCTGCAAGCATGCAGTCTTGGTGCATCAAATTTTGTATTCACATTCAAAAAGCAATAAAGCAGTACTTAAAAAAAGACAGAATGAGATTAATAGAGATAAAGCAGAATGTGAGAGACAAAAAAGAACAGATGTCAGTGGCACTTCTTAGTAGGGTTGGGTTAATACCACATTTCAGTACAACAGGATCCTTGTAGTGATACTTTGATAAAAACAGACAAAGTTTTGAATATGTTTCGAATATGTGCAGATTTGCATATCATCTAACAAAAATACTAAACCAATAATTGAAATACACATAAAAAAAACATTCTTTCCATCAAAGTTTTGCAAGCAAATGGAAAATTAATCAGGGTAATGCCAAAGTCTTGCAAGTGAACACAAAAGTTTATCGAGGAATTTCTTGTCTATCAAAGTTATCTGACATTATCAAGCTGAATTTGTTTTGAGACAGTTTAACTCTGAGTTCTTGTGATATTTTATTATCATTTTCTAAACTATAACGAATAAACTGTGATAATGTGAGAAATGTTGAAGGTGTCTGAATAAATTTTGGTTTGACTGTATCTATATGATAAATGAAGTTAACCAACTAATATTATACATACTCTTTTGGTTTCTGTACCCAATATTTAAAAAATGTACAAATGCTATGAAAATATTGGTATCGGTACTTGGTATCGGCGAGTACCAAAAATAAAAGTATCGGGCGAGTACTGGAAAAAGTGGTATCGGTGCATCCATAGTAAAAATCCCATTCATTTTCTGAATTGGGTAACTGATTTTTAATGATAACGTATAAACCGTTAAAGACAGACCTCCTGTGAGCTACAAGATTGTTAATCACTGTTATGTATTTTTGTTAAAGCCATCAGCCCACACTTATTCTTGAAATAATCATGTTTAACAGCAGAATTTATGGTGAAAATGTGAGATCTTGGCAGTGCGTCACCGCACATCACTGCCGGATAATCGAAAATGGGCAAAAAGGTGGGAGCTGGTTGCTGAAGCCACGCCCACCTAGCTCGACGGCAGTGTCAGCAACGGCAATCCACCTGTCACTCAAGTGGCCACGCCCTTAATTATGCAGAATTTAAGGCTTAATATAATTTAAACGGATGAGTTATAAAAAAATTCACCCACCTCAGTTGTCATGAAGGGCAAAATGAGCTATATAGACCAAAATCACTTTCTGAACCAGGCTGTAAACATGTTTTTTTCTGCTGTAAAGTTGAGAATTTTTACATGGGGAGTCTAGGGGATTGACTCCCTTTTGCAGTCAGCCTCTAGAGGCCAGTTGAGGAATTACAGTTTAAGTCACTTCCGTGTTGGCTTCAGAGAGAGAGCGGGAGGTTGCCACTTGGGAATAACTCAAATCTAACCTCCTTAAATGGTTGTGATACTTGACACAATCAGACAGACAGGAAGAAACCAGAAAGACACGTACTCAGAACAGGAAACTCTTCAGACACAAACAGTTGATCAAGTAATATGAATTTGAGAAGTAAACAATGAAGTCCTTCAAAGTGAGCAAGGTTTTTTATTGTAGAGTGGAGCCATTAAAAGCCATTTAAATTATATTCTGACTAATAATATTAAGAATGATTGAATTTCTGAACTGAAGGAAAGCTGAAACCGAAAGGGATGATGAATGAAAGTTGGCCTCCTTACCTTTATCGGCCACAGACAGTGTGCTGCTCAAGTACTTTTCCTCAAGCATCCATGATGCATCATTCAGCTTGGATGAGATGCCACACGACCCCACACAGTTGACTTTAATGGCTGTAAAAAAACAAAAAGATCATTCATAATTCATAATTTTTAAGTTCAAAGTTCAGTCATGTCATTCAGAAAGTAAAACATTTTTTTTTACATTTATATATATAAAAAACTATATATATATATATATATAATAACAACATTAAATGTTTTGATGAGCATACATCATATTTAGTATTGAATGTATTATTTTTATATTATATAGTATGCATATAATGTAAATATTTATTCTAAATTAGAAATTATAGCAGTTAAGAAAGTATTAGGCTATTTATGAAAGAAAAACATAAAAATATATTCATATCTGACACACCCTGTCATTCCATTTAAACAGATAAGGTTGTTTACCTTCCTCCACACCTTCATAAATTAGACTTCTTTTAAACACTCCACCATTCAAGAAATGATGCAAGGACAGGTCTGATAAGTTTAATCGCTTTGGATTTTCCACAGTAAACAGAGCTGATGTCATGTTCTTGATGGCTAGAGCAACATAACAAATGTTGAATAGGAATGTTGATTGTTTTCCTTTCATCGAACAACCTGTTGGATTTCTACCAATCCACACAACAGACATTCCGTACGAATTAAACATTCACCCAGACGGAAAAGCCCCTTTGTCTGGAGCGTCGAGGAGAAACAGCCATCCTTATTTGCATTATAATTGCGTGATGCTAAGCTCTCCACACAGGCTTTATCAGGGTGTACCCAGAAACATAAAGACACCTGAACGTTCAAAACCCAACCAGGCAGACCAACGTCAAACCCTTCAAAGACCAAAATTTAGGTTGAAATCAAACCTAAAGGTCAAGGTCACAAGATATAGACAAAGACATTTACATGTATATGGCTGTAGCATTGGTGCTTTTGCCATTACTGTGCCACTAATATAGGCTATAGAGATGAATTTTTGAGCATTCTGTAATGCTTAGACAAACATATACACCTTACATGACCCTGTCAGGCAGTTCACAAATATACAGTGAGTGCAAATCTGAATTTGAGTGAAAAGAGACAAACTGACTCATGCTGATCTGATTATGTAATGGGCCAGTGGTTGGTAAAGCCCAAGAAATCTCAATTGGATTGACTCAAAACAGCAGGGCAGAGCAAACACCACCATTACAGATTCTCTCTCACATAAACATTAACTCAGGAAACAACCATCTCCAAACATTTAAACAACCCTCATGGTTTTCTGCAAGCATATATAATACAGCACGTCTTATTCGTTTTTGTTAATAAACGTTTTGTAAGCCAGTTTGTCATTGTATCTTACTGTTTTATCGTTGTTATGCTTTTTAATTAAGAATAACAATGAATCCAGCTCTTGTTTTAGTCTTAAAAAGTGAAATATGTATAGATGTATGTAAGCAAATCAGAAAATTATCTTTTCTTGTAAAACGTGACGCCAAGATAGCGAATTCGAAAGTGAAAGCATCCGAAGCCCGGCTTATAACATAGCTAAAGAGAAACTCCCTGTTCACAAAATTCCAATCACAAATAATACTGATGAAAAAGAAGGGGTTGAATGTTAACCACTTTCGTTTTCATATAACTAGAAACTATGATAAAAGTTCATCAGCATGCATTGATTAATCCCTAAAAATAAATCATGTGCTGGTGTGACCAACTCAGAAAGTTAGTCGCAAAAGAGCGACCAGTGGGAAGAATGAGTCTGGAGCCCTGAAGCATAAAACACAGTTTTATTACATTAGATATTTGACATTTACATTAGATATTTGACATTTACATTAGATATTTGAACATGCTATTAGATAAACTGTTGTCAGTCATCTTGTCATTTAAAATCCGGACATCATTGGCAATGTTATTGTTTTAGTTATGCAAACAAAAATGAATTTTATTTGTTGTTTGTTGATTTTAAATGTAAAACTTGGTGAAATTATTTGTGTGTCAGTACTTTTTGAACATTTCCAGCACATTGTAACAATACCGTGATAATACTGATAACTGTGATCATTTGATCACTGTGATCACTATAACCGTGATAAGAAATGTTCATACCGTTACATCCCTACACACGGCTGGGGAATGTTAAAGCCTGTTTGTGTGTGGCCGGCACGCAGTCTAAATCAGCACCAGTTCACCACAGACACAAAACACTGGTGGCAGATGGCAGCATATCACTGGACCTCCCTGGCACACTGGCATGAGAGCCCTTCCATCTCTAGCACAAATAAAACAACTAAATCCAAAGGAGAGACGGTCCTCAGAGTATCAGACGACTCATGAACGAATAAATAGGCATTAAAGCACCGGTGCCATCTGCTGTGTACCATCTGGGCACTTCTGCTGGCATAAGAAAACTTTATGCTGACTATATTCTACCCCTGTATACAAAAAAAAAGCAGTAATGAAAATGAAAACAGTACATTGTGTTAAAATTATTTTGCTTTAGCTACACGACTTTCCATGACTTTTTTGTGACCTTTCCAGTCCCATGTAAAATATAATATTAATAATCATTTAAACTGATTCACTAATGACTCATTCAGACAGAGTTGAGAACCAGTTTGATTCATGGAAAAGAACGAAAGAAACGCAGCTGCAGCTTTCAAACGAATTTGAAAGAATGATTCATTCCCAAATTTTGCTATGGCAAGTTTTACTCAATTTCTAGCTGATTATTTTTTTTCTTTTCACTAAAGAATTTTTTTTCAGACCTAGAAAATATTATGTAAAGTTTTTATGTTTTTATGCAAGTTATTACATAAAGGATAAAATATAGGAAAATAAGAAATATGAATATGAAACATAAGTATTGTATTGCCAAATGTTTTTTTGTCTTTTTTAACAACTGAGCAGCTGCAGTAAACCCTTGTAAAGCAGACTGATTCACACAATGACAAGTATTACTGTATCAGCCATGACTGAAAAACTCAACTATTACAGGAAATAACACAACCAAAGAGAGGATGTAGAGACGGCATTACCTCTGTTTGTTAGTGTATAAGTAAAAGTTCACGTTGACACTGAATGTGGCTACTAAATGAAAATAGTTATTGCGCAACATGGGGAGGCCAGCTGGATTCATTGTAGCTTCATACGGACAAAAGAGCAAGATGGAAATGAAGCTTTCATGAAATGGAAATAAGCCTCCCAGCCTCAGAGTGATTATAAAGTGAGATTGTAGCATGTGTGTGGTTTATGGTGTTACTCTTACAACATCTCTGTCATGTTTTCTGTCTTCCATTAGAAGCAATGGTTCTGACATCTCACAAAATGTCATGATTTCACATTGTCTTACTTTAGCATCATAGAAGACACATTTTTCCAAATCAATATATGTTTTTCGGTCCTCTGAGGAACACAAGTAATAATTCTAAAGAATTCAGAATTCTGAATGGTCACTGGTGCTTTCAAGGTTCATATGGAATATAAATGCACTATGATTTATGCTGTATGCTATAAGTCACAGCTTTGAGTAAAAAACCAAACAAAATTTAAGCCGTTATTCACTGAAAAAGTGTTCCAAACTTGAGTTTATGAATGAAGCATTCTTTTGAATCATATATTTTTAATGAATCAGTTGATCTGAGTCAAGTGAATATTGACTCAAATTCCAGTTATTTTTCTCAGCCAAATATGACTTCTGAAGAAGTCATGGCGCCGTTGTGCTGTGGCTGCCGTCACATCATCCAAGTGGATGCTGCACACTGGTGGTGGTTGAGGAGAGACCCCCCCACATGATTGTAAAGCGCTTTGGGTGTACAACAATACACAATAAAGCGCTATATAAATGCATCATTCATTCATTCATTCTTTTGCATTGTTTTTGAAGCTTAAAAAGCATTGCAACTGACATTCCACTCTTTGTGTATTATAGAGGAAAGAAAGTCAGCATCAGTGTGAGTAAATGATGATAGAAAATTCATTTCTGGATGAAATATTCCTTTCAAGCTGTACACTGTGTGCTGGGCTCTGACTCAGAGTCTACAGGGGGACACGCTGGAGTTGGTCCAGGCCTCTTGGCAGCTTATACGGTTCAGCGCATGTGTCAGAGAAACACCGCAGCAGGCGTCCGGAGCGTCTCCTGTGTTGATCACAACCCTTTCACATGTGAAGACAGCGTGGGCTGAACCTGCTTCCTAACACACGCAGCGTAAGCAACACTTTTGCCAGTCATCAGACGACTGTGAGAAACTGCGCACCCATCTATTATCTATGAGTTTATATCTAAGAATACTACATACAAAGACCTATTCAAGTACTCTTCCAACAGTATATTCAAACACACAAACCTAACTGTTAACAAAAAAAAGAATAAAAAGAATTCTCCTAAAAACCTAAATCTAAATCTAAAAGAAAGGTTCATTATCTGTTTGAAATACGATTCCCACCCATGTCCTTTGAGAATGTCTCTTCCCTAGGACAGGAATTTATGGGTGACATTACACAATTAAGAGTTTCAGGTATATGCATAACTGGCTCTGAAAGCTCAGCTCTGCAATGTTTTAGACCATAAAACCTCCTGTAAGAAACACATAAACGCTTATAAGACTGTTCATCTTAAATTACAAGATAACAAGGCTGTTTAACTGACTTCCTTATTTGAACTTAAAAAACATTCACTTGAAACATACATTAAAACAATGACATTTTTAACAAGCATACACAATTAGATTTTTACATTTCTAAATAAAAATATGTTATTTTAATTTTATTCAGAAATGTAAAAATCTTATTGGGCATTCTGTATTAAAAACAATAACTTTATTTATTTATTTATTTATCTGTCTGTCTTTATTTACCTGTTTTTATTTATTTATTTAGAAATGTAAAATGTTTATCTGGCATTCTGGGTTACACTTTACTTGAAGGGGTGTGCATAAGACTGACATGACACCTACATAATCATGACATGACACATGTCATGAATATGAAGGGTTTTTATGCATGTTTATGACAACTGTCATTAAGTGTCATTTGCTCAGTTATGTAATTTTTAATGCAAAGATGACATTGTTTGAGATGTCTTT